CGGCTACGTGTACGGCGGGGGCGGCGGCGACGTCCTCTCCTCCCCGGACTGCTGCTCCGAGCTGCCCTTCGACTCGCCGCCCGGCTTCGACCTGGCGCCCGCCCCGCCGCCCGGGGCCGCCCTCCTGTGGCCGCAGTTCGAGCGCGGCCCTGCCGCGCCGCCCTCGCCCGCGCCCTCGCCCGCCGCCGCCGCCGCCTTCCCGGGCGCCGCGCCCGCCAATGCCAACCTGGCGCTGCTGGTGAGCGGCCCCCGGCGCGGCGCCGCCCCGCCCCCGGCGCGGCTCTCCCCGCCCCTGCACGGCAGCGCGGCCGGCTCCGAGCACCCGCTGGCGCGCCGGGTGCGCAGCGACCCCGGCGGGCGGCTCCTGGCCGCCTCCTACCCCCTGTACGCCAACGGGCTGGGCGCCCACCTGCCCGGGCTGCCCTCCGACTCCTCTGCCTCGTCCTCCTCCTCCTCCAGCTCCTCGTCCAGCTCCTCCTGCTCCTCCTCCGGCGTGCGGCGGAAGGGCAGCCGCGACTGCTCGGTGTGCTTCGAGAGCGAGGTGATCGCGGCGCTGGTGCCCTGCGGCCACAACCTCTTCTGCATGGAGTGCGCCAACCGCATCTGCGAGAAGACGGAGCCGCAGTGCCCCGTGTGCCACAGCGCCGTCACCCAGGCCATCCGCATCTTCTCCTGAGCGCCGGGGGCAGCGGCGGCCGGGCCGGGCAGGGCAGGGGCGGGGGCCGGCAGGGCCAGGTCCGCGCCCGCCGGGAGTGCGGGTGCGGCCGAGGGAGGGCTTAGGGGGTGGTGTGACAGCGGGTGCATGCTATAAATAATAACGGGCGACTCCATTCTAGTGCTAGGCTAGTTTTTACACTGTACTTTAATACGAAGCTTCCAAAACTCCCCCCTTTTTTTATAAACAAACAAAACAAAAACCAGAAAAAAAAATTGAAAGTAGAAGATGCTTATGATGATGGCAATGGTGTGTGGACTGTTAGTAAAACGTGCTGGTAGTTCTAGGATGCTTATTACAAAATAATTAAATCTATGGGTGGATACTTTTCTGAATGTTCTTGAAAGGGCAAGAAGTTCCTGTGAAAAACCATGATACTGCAGCTTTATCAGACTTTAAAAAAGAAAAAAAAAACCAACAAAACTGTAACATATCTCTTATATATATTAAAAACGTTTAAAGGTTTTAAAGATAAATTGCATTAATACAGATTGAAGTATTTTATTCTTTTTTGACTTGAAAAATTATATTTCATATTGCAAAGATGTTTACAAGTATTTTAATTTAAGTTCAGTGAACTTTTTGTAGCTGGGTTAAATCTTTTTTATTTTAGTATGGCCTTATGGCAAAGAACACTGTATTATTTTAATATCACACAATTGTGAACGGAATTACAAACCATAAAATGTGTAATGCTTTGAACAGTATTCTGTTGGGATGGAGATTTTATAGGTTCAGAAAAAAATCTTTTAAATCTGCTTCACCCAGCATATTTTCTATTCAGTGATATAAAGCATATTTTATTCTATATTATTACAAAAATGGAAATGTATAAACATATGTCAAAAGGAACTGTTGAAGCTTTCTAACATTTGTATAAATAGAATTCAGTGGAAATTACAAAAATTCTGTTGCACCACTATAGTTTTAGTATTTCTATTTTAATACATTTGTTTACCACTTGTTTATGTATATGTAGGTGACGTTACTTGAGCTTAAATGTACTTTACTGAGCAAAGTTTAAAAACAAAGTATATTTTATTTTATGATAAAGGGCCTTTAACCTCATGGTCAAATACTAATATTATATTTGCTGAGACAAGATTTGAAATTGTATCAAGAGTTTTATTTTTCTGACATTTAAAGTTCTACATAATAAAAGTAAAACTTAAGTAATGGTGCTACTTCATGTTTTTTTAAGTATTTCTATATAAATAAAATAAAATATTACAGAAAAAAGGTACTCTTTGTGGTGATTTGATTTCATGTACTGAGAGTTTCTTCTGGAATTTTTGTTTCCTGCTTGTAGCAGTGAAACATTGGGAGTTTAAACTGTCATGCCAATGTTGCTGGAACTCTAGCTTGTGCTGGCTTCCAGAATAATCCTGCCAGCGATCATACCTTTTAACATGTTTTTAAGGAAGAAAAAAATTGTTGGGTTTTTTTTTAATATGTGTCATATTGCTGGAGTTTTCCACATCAAAAAGTACTATTTATTCAGAATTTTCAGTCATGAAAAATCCTTGGATTTGTGTGAATTATTACTTTTAGCAGATAAAGCATAGGTAAGAAACAGAGCTGACAGCTGGCTTAGCTTTGGGAGCTGGAAGCAGAGAGTGGGGGAGGCTCCTTTGCTGCCATGTGCTGATGCTGGGCTGCATCCTGCGGGTCCTGGCTCCGCCATGCCCAGGGGCCTCAGGACCGCATCCCAAACTTGGTGTTTCTGCGATGGAACAAGGGCTGCAGCAGCCTCTCTTGAGTTCCTCACGGTGCTTTTTGGTATTTGGCAGTTGTGGTTGTGGTAATTGGTGTTGACAAGCTTATTTGAATAAAAAATTTATAGCCGTATAAAGTTGGTTTGCTTTTGATGGTGCCCGCAGTGGTGTTGGGGTGGAGGAAGCGCAGCCGCTCTGCCGGACGAGCCCAAGGACCCACCAGGCAAACCCCGCAGGACTTGTGCTGCTGAGTGTAGTCAATGTGTTTGAATGAGCTGGCTCTTGGCTGAAGCGTGTTAGAGCAGATTGCAGAGGGTGCTGCACATCACTTTAAAGTGTTTCTCTTTGAGTTTGCCATTGCCCTTTTCAGTGGGTGAGTGAAAGCAACAAAGCAAGCACGAAGTGTGTAGCGTATTTCATATGTTTTACTTTGTGCTTAGCAGTGTATGGCAGAGCTGCTCTGCTCCAATCTCCTTTATGGACTACAGAGCTGCTGGTTGGGTGGGAAGGGGGAGGAGGGAGGATGCGGCAGGGGATGATGGGATCTCTTTGTTTGATTTGATTTGATTTTTGCTGCTTTCATTGAACTGTGATTGTGGTATCATCTGATTTATAGAGTTCAAATCCCTCGCAGGAGTGTTGCACTTGGCTCAGGAATCTTGTCATTTTGGATGGGGGGAAAAAAATCCCCACCCTAGTGCTGTGGAAAAGCTTCCACAGAGTGGCAGAGAAGGTGTGCTTAAATACGTATGTGGTACAGACACTTAAAAAACCCCTTGGCAAAATTGGTCACTTTAAAGGGATCAGGAAGTTTAAGTCCATGTGTATATTTTTTTAATGATGGGTGTTTAGAAAAATGCACTTAAGATGCGTCAATCAATTTCTCATTTCAGTGTAAACATCCTGTGCTGTTTTCTGGGAAAAGTTGTGAAAATGGCTATAAATAAAAAGCTGAATTTGATTATCACTTGGCTTGATTTTCAAGCTTAGTGAAACTGAAAGGTGAATAAGATGAACAAAAAGTGAAAACTAAATTCTTCTCCTTTTTTTTCCCTCCCGTAATGTACAGTCCTGCATGTCTCCATGGTGTTTGCAGCAGTGCTGTGGATGACTGTGAGCAGCCAATGTGCCTCTGGAGAGCAGCCCCTGTGCAGCAGCTCGGCAAACACCCCAACCTGGGCCGCTGAGTCTGTCAGTAAATGCAACTGGCCTCCTTGTGCACAGTTGTCTTGCAGGACTTGTTTTCTTTACCAAACTGAAACAAAGGCTGAAACAAAGGCTGGTCCTTGGCTCTGGCTGCCTTTTCAGCCCCCCTATGCTGTTTCACCCCCTTTGCATGCTCCACGTGTGTGTCGTCACGAGATGGGAAGATGGGCTGTAGCACCTTAAAAACTGACTGTACTTGTTCCTCTTTGTGAATTATTTTGTCTGCACAGGGAGCAGTCTGGATTACTCTTGCTTTGGCATCCTATGATGCAGTGAGTGCCTTTTGCCCTGCCTTCCAAGCTTGAGTGCCCTGTGGTGGTGGCAGAGCCAGTGGGCTCAGCACCACTCACCCACCCGAGGCACCTCAACTGCCTGGAGTCCCCAGCTGCCAACAGGGCAAGTGCATTCCCCTTTCTCTCTTGGAGGACATTTCAGGTTGTACTGGCAGTTGTGGTGTCCATTGCATTTGGTCACATTGCTTGCTGGGTTGCAGTGATGTACCCTGAACCCAGATCTGCTCCCAGTGGTGAGGCGTAAATCTCCCATCCTTGGCTGGCAGAGATGAGTGCATGGGAGCAGGGACAGCATGGGGAAGAACGTGCAGCCTGCCCATGTGTGCTGCCCCCCAGATTTATGCCATAGGTCAGTCTCTGGGACTGCAGAGGCCATAAATCAGTGCAGAATTTGTCCCAGGGTCGGGGGCCATATGGTGAGTGGGAGCAGGAGAGGGAGAGGGATGCCCACGCCAAAGGAGAATAAAAGCCTATGTTTGGGGCCGGAATATTTCAAAGCCTGAGAAAGGGGCAAAGTTCAGTTTCTAATTGAGTGCTTTGAAATATATAGATGTATATGGTCAATGTTTATCTACCAGAACAAAGCTCACTTTGTTTTTCAAATGTTTGTGTGTTGGTGCTGAGAACTGTTCCTGGGGGTCTCCAGCACGAGAGGCTCCTCTGGGGCTGCCGGGGGGTGTGGGTGCCCCCGGCGCGTGTCAGCAGCCTGGCCCTGCCATCCCAAACGCCTGCTTGGAGGCATTGGTGAGTATTTGTGGGGTTTCCTGTCTTTGCTAAAGTACTTGTATGGCTCCCAGTGCGTGTACACATCATTATCTCAAACCAGGGTACATTTACATTTGTAAGAATTATTATAGACAAAGTCCTGAGCTTAATTATTCCTCTGTCCGTATCTTGTACTCCATGGAATTTGCATAACAATCAGACATCAAAGTCAGAACCCTTTACTGGAAGAAAGGTCTTTCAGCTATATTATTTTAGTAAAATAAATAATTATGATCAATTTAATCTAAATTTACTCTTTAGGTTTTTTTTCCTGCAAATCCATTGAAATGAGAGTTAAAAGCAAACTTTAAATTTAGTAGTAAGAATCTAGTACAATAAGGTATTTAAATTAAATTGCTTTTTGTTTGATATTTCTCGCTCCTTTCTGCCAACCCCCTCACCCATCTTTTTTTCTCCATTCTCCTTGTCTTGCCATTTTGGAAGCTGAAGTGATGCTTTGCTGTCACTGAAGTGAATGTGGATTCTGCTGCTGAAAGAGCACACTGGTGAGTGTTGCATTTAATTGATCTAGAAATAGCAAAAAGGAATTATTCACCCTGGCTCTGCTTATTTGTGTTTCCTGTAACTCGAGTTGTCTCTCAAGTAGAGATGATTTAATTAGAGAACAAAGACTTTTAAATCTAAAGTAGTTAAGGGATGCTTCAGTCTGTATAATCATTTGCATTTCTGGTTTACCTGTTTATGATAGTCTACCTGGCAAATGCCAAAGGGCCCGAGTTTGCAGGTGAATATGTGCTCTATCCAACGGTGAGTGATGGGGAAAGACACTCATAACTACTGTGTTCTCTTGCTTTGTACTCAGAAAACTATATAGATATATATATAGGTGTGATCAGATACCCAGTATGCACTTGTATATGCAATTGACTGCACAATTTTCCTCCAGAAAAATCAAAAATTAGAAAGCCTTTCTTTTTTCAGTGCATTAATGTTAACAGAAACTTGCTGTAATACTAGAAAAACTTGTATTACTTAATATTAAGGATTTTAATGAAGCTTTCACAGTTGGATATGTAAAATAATTACATTTCATCTAATTTCTAACCTTGATTAAAAAGTAAAAAGCTTATTGTCTTAATTTTAGTGAATTAGATTGTATCACAATGTGCTTATATAGTGATGAAGCAGTATCAAAAATATTTAATCATTTGATATCTGGATTATTCTGTAATGTTATCTATACATGTATAGCATGTGCAACTCTGACTGTGCCCCAGGTATATACATGCATAAATGTACAATACTGTGAGCATACTGCAGCCCTGATCTTTTAAGATTTCTGCAGCCTTTGTAAATAGCATCTATCATGTGATGTTGAATTTTTGGCCTTAAGGAATATCAGCTGGGGCTGTGGCTACAGAAACCACCAGTATTTGCCCTGGGCTGCATTTTTCTGAGTTTGGGGCTCCATGAAACCAATAGCAGAAGCTCTCCTTGATCAGGATTTAGCTCTCCCCATAAATCAAACTCTGCCAAGTAAGGTTTGTTTTGCATATAGAAACTTATCCAAGGCACACAGATAGTATTTCTTCCTAATGTGGGTTTGCTGATTCTTTTTGGCAGGGAATTTTTTTGCCATATCTTTTGTAACAACTTATAGATCTCCATCAGCAAGACGATTATTGGGTAAGAAAATCAGTCAGTTAAATACTTTCATAGTAAATGCATCTTATGCCTTTGCCACAACAAATGTGATTGATTAGCTGTCTCGAGAAATTTATAGCCTTTGATAAGATTGCACCAAGGGAAGTGCTTTGTTAGTTTTAAATGGAGAACAAAAAGAGATTTTTGATGTTCCTCATTACTAGTTTTCCATTTGTGATGGAGATAAAATACAGTAAAGTGTTTTTTCCTCTTGTGGATGAGGGCTCTTCTGCCTTTCATACCTGGTAGAATTGTGTGGCCCACTTTGTATTAGTATGAATGGCAGTTGCCTTGTAAATGTGATGGCCATGAATGGGTGAATAGTCTGTCGTCTCCTATTTTGTCCTTTGTCTTTATGTTTTATTCACTTTTACCCTCTACAAAAGAGCTTTAATTTAGACCTGAGACAGCAGTGGCGATGCTCCAGTTCATTATAGATCTAGTGGCAGTTTTATTTCATTTTGATGTTCTTTATATTTTGATGGGTGTACTAAACAGTAGAGGCCATTTTAATCAAAAGAAAATTTCAACGAGAGCATGACCTATAAATAGTGGCTTTGTAAGAGACACAAAAGTTTCTGTTACACATTTGGAAATTATTTCCATGATTTAACTGCGAAGGGCAAGTAAATCACCCCTTTTTAAGAATTAGAAAAAGGAGTGTTTTTCAGGATCTTTAGTTCTGTTACTGAGTCATTGTATCATCTCAGCTAATTAATTTCACCTTTTATATGCTTCAGGATTTCCATCTGTGAATGAACTAGTGACACCTACTTTCAGCCAGTATTGTGAAGATTAATTAATTGACATTATTGAAGTATCCTGAGGTGGAAGTCCTAACGTAAGTACAAAATCTGATTACTGATACTTTCTAATTAATCAATTCACAATAGCCACCATGTGGAATCATATTGGTCTAGAGCAAACAAACACTGGATTGTATTTGAAATCTGTGGGTGGTTTTTTTCAGATTTCTGATTTTACATGTTATTTGAATCATCTTATTCAGCAAGTGTAAGAGTGTCCCTTCCTCCCATGGCTCTTACAGGGAATGTGGGCTTGACTTAGAAGAAATACTTGATTCTGCTGTTACACCTATTGTCCTGGTAGGCTTTGTTGCAGATACAGAAAGGCAACTTCAGGCAATTTTCTTGCCTCCTCTGGTGTAACATTACTGACACTTTAAAGATGATGTCCCTTTCAAATGGAGATTAAAATATTAGTGTTATGAAGGAGCAAACAGCACAGATCCAGTAATCCCTTTGCATTGGCCGGATGTTACTGAACATGAAGAAGGAGTGGAGGAGCAATGTCTTACCTCATGAGGCATCAGAAGGGAATTGATGTTGTGAAACTGTTCATAATTTATAGGGATAATAAGATCCATTCTTACTCCTCGTGGCTGGGATGCTGTTTGCACAATGATATGCCTACAACTGTGCAAATCTTAGGCCACATGTTTAAAAAAAGCAGGAATAGCTGGAAACAGTGGAATTTGTCTGAGCCTTGCTCTAATTAAGTAGTATGAAACACGTACCTAACTTTTCATAGTTTTGAGTACATAGTTGACAAAAAAGGTGAATGTAGTTGCTGTCTGTATTGTTTTCCAGAGACCAGTCACATTACTAAATGACTTGATGCTCTTTTTGTTGAAAATAGAAGTCACAAGATATTTTCTGGAATTATTTGCAACTGTTGCACAAGTGCAGACAGGGAGGTTTAAAGTTTCACAAGCATTCATATTTCTTTCTCCTTATGTCACTTCTTTAAAAAAAAAAGTCGATCACGTGCAATTATGAAACTGCTTTGTGTCTGACACAGTTGAAGATGTTTTCAGGCCACAAAAATGTAACTTTCTATGAGCAATTTAAATTAAAACCCCACTCCAGCAGAACATGTCCTCAATCTTCGGAGTCACATGGTTCTTGGAAAGCTCTTTCTTGGCTGTGCGGGAGGTCACTCTTTTAAGGAGAGAGTCTGTGCACAAACGTGCAGTGCTGCTAATGAGAGGAATTTCACACTTTTCCCCCTGACACAAGCTCTGCGTTCGTCCTGCTGGCTGCTGCCTCTGAAGCCTTTGGTATTAGATGTTATAATGAGTGCTGGGCTTTTACCAAGCCAGTGCAGCAACATGCTGTAGCTTTAGCTGCAGAGGTGGCTTCCAGAAGGTAGGGTCACCCACTCCGCAAAAATAAAGAGTACTTAAAAGTGGGGTCTCCTGTTTGTCTCTGAGAACATCTCTGCTCTATGGCTGCCCTTCCTTTCCCCAATGGCAATTTTCAAGCCAAACATCCCTTTCATCATCTCGCTGGCTTACCAGCAAAGTTGTCTGTCGATAATAGCAGGCTTTACTTCTTCCCCAGCTAACTGGTAGTCAGGCAGCCGAAGAATGGCCTATCCAAAATTAGGATATGCTCAATGCACCATCCGCTGGTGTTGTTCCCATCAGCCTAATTACATGACTTTTGGGTCAGACAATGTCTCATTGTGTGGCCCTTGGCAGCTACGGGACGCCTAATGCTGCATGAATGTCTAATGTGGAGTTTGATGGCTATGACCGAGGCTGCAGTTCCACACTGGAATTGAAAACATCCATGTAGTTTCCATAGAAAACCAGGTCAATGGTGCTTCCATAAACCATTGGCCCCAGGGAAAGCTGTTGGTTGCCTGTTACCTATACAAATCCATGCAGGGTGAGCAGTTTATGGTGCATTTCTCTTTCAGGTAAATGACAATTAATGAGTCAGATTGATTTAGTCTTTACTGACTTGTTTCAGAATCCTAATTTATGGCAAGCACCATCCCTCATCCATTTATCTCTATCTTTTCTTCTATTTTGTGCATTTAAGAACACTTGTGAGGTGTCTTATGAACGCTGCAAGCATAATGAATATGGCTTTGTATCGGTAGGTTAAAAAAAATCATTTTATGCTGCCTTTGACTGCAAAAATTTTGGGTAGAACTACCCTATCTTTACAATGCTTCCTGTAAAAATCTGCCTTTTTTACAGGCAAAAGAGAGGTATGAACGTAAAAGGCAATTCATTGTAGATGAAGGCTGTAATATGCTTGTTCATTTCAAAGGAGGATGTATAACTAATTACATTTTAATTGAATCTCTAACGTCAACAGCTGTTTTTAAGGGATCTTTTTAAGCTACATTTATTTTTAGTATTGTTTAAGATCATCTTTCTTTGCACGCATCTCCCTTCATGCATTATTGCCCTTTAAAAAGTTTTTCCTCTTTTAAAGTATCAACAAAAGCTAGCATATATTAAAGACTAAGCTGGTAAAATTTGGTTTTAAGATGCTGGGTATGACTTTTCTATGTAGAGAGGAAAAAAATATGACACCACCAAAATGCCCTTTGTTCTCTTTTTCTCCCAGAAGTAAAAGGTTCCAGTTCCAGACCAAACTGCCAAGGCCAGTTCTCAGCTGCCGGTGGTTTGTGTTGGCTGGCTGTTATCAGTTCCTCTTCAAGGCAGCTGCTAATTACAGTAACAGCACAACTATCTCTTCAGACTGAGTGAGCCACACTGATTTAGTCTTTCCCCCACTAAATTAACAACAGCATCAGTGAATATCCTTTAACTGAGAGAAGAAAAAAAAAATCTAAAACTGGTTTTCACATGAAAAAACATATCCACATTTGGGGTTTTGTATATCAGCGCTTGGTTCTGCTGATTTTCCTGGAACTTGTGTGAGCCCATAAAGCTTCAGGTGTCATTGTGGTTTCTTTGTGTTCTTGGTTTTCCATTTCCAGCCTGGATAACCCAGAAGCACAGGTGAAGGAAAAAGACTTTGCTCAGCCTTTAGAAGCTTGGAAACTCCTCCATGGGAACCACCACTTCCTGCTGTCTCCCAGTGCTGCAGGACTTTGGGGTGAGCTCTGTGTCAGCACTAGATCAGAGCCACACCGGTGAGCTCAGTCCTTGGCCTGGCAAGTTCCAGCTCTATTGCTGACTGTCTCTGCTCCAAGGGGACACAGCTGTCCCTGCTCCATTCCACTGCCACCAGAGCAGCTGCACTGTGCCTGTGGAGGAAGGAGCTGAGTGCTCACTGCCCAGCAGCTCCCCACAGTCCAGCTCAGTCCCCCAGCACCCTGTAAGCATGGCTGTGGTGCTGCTGTGCCTGTCTCATCCGTGGTAAAATCCTTTAGGGGCATCTCCCAGCCCTGTGAAGGAGTTGAAGCCACCCTCTGCTCTGATCAGAGGGATTGGTTCATGTCACGGTGTGTTTGCAGGAAGCCCGTGTCTTGCTGATCACAAGCTGCTCTTTCCCTACACTTGCTGGGATTCCTGCAGCTATAGGATTAACCCAGAGAGAAGGTACCCTCTGTGATCTCCTCTGACCCCCCATCACCTCTCCTCTTGCTGAACTGGAGGTTTTTTGCACAATTCAGAGTCTTGAGCACTCCAGAAATGGAGGGAATTGCTTGAGAGGTGATTGCTGTGTTGCTGTGAAGGAATATGTAGCTGATATTGGTTTTGTATTTTCTATATAATTCTGTAATTATTCTGTAATTCTGTAAATTCTGCTCTAATTTTCTGTAAACATCAAAGCTCATCAAAGCTCAAATCATGAGAGCCCTGTGTTGGTTTTGGAAGGTAGTTCCGTTAGAGATTGGAATAGCAGTGTAGTTTTTAAAATTGCATAAACAATAAATAAGAATTCATTATCTCTTGCAGAAAACTAGCCAGTAGGTTCAGAAAGACTTGACATCTGAGGCTAAGGTAATAATGGATGTAGTGGCAGTAAAATAATGGCAAATCAGAAAAACGGGTGAATCTTCTAGTTAACACCTGCAAATGCACAGTGATTATGTTTTCACTGGGAAATGGAGCTTTGTGAGACCAGTGATTTGCAAGAGCAGAGTTGACTCCTTGTATTTTAGTGTTAAATTTTTCTTCTCTCCTTATAAGTGGACTGAATCTAATTTTGATTATATCAGGCAAGTGTAAATCACAGTTAACACTGGTGACATTGCTATAATTGCAAAGTATCTGGAGTCAGTGTATTTGAGAGAAAATCAGACCTGTTTGGTCAGATTCCTCAGAGGGGAAGTCTCTGAACGCAGAGCAAATTCACATGAGTGATAGAAACTATCCCTATTCCAACACTGCTGTAAATGAAAGCTGAATCTGACTAGTTTAGTGCCATGGTTTGAATAGGATTTTTGATGGAGCGTGCAACGGCTCTTACAGCAAAAATGTCTTTTATTTCAATAGTGCAAAGCAGTCAGAAACATTGAAATTTGTGGTGTTCCTTCAGTGTGGTGAAGGACACTGATGTCCACTTCTGATGGATGGGTCAGCCATTCCTGGAGCAGCTCAAACCATTTTAATGAACTGATGGGGTAACTGAGACTAAAAATAATCCTTGGGGAGCTTGATTTAGCTATTAAACAGGGAATTGGTCTTGGCTTGCTGTATTAGGGTGCTGCGAAGATAAGCTGACTGCCATTAAAACATGCTTAAAATTCTGGATTGGGAGAGCACAATAGAAATGTGAAGCATCTTGTTATGTTAGATACTGTCAAATTAGCACCGTGGTTTATCTCTAGCATTCATCAATAATTTCTCTGTACTGGGGCAGAGAAACAGATTCAGTAAGAAACATGCCACATCTGGGCTGGCAGAGGCTGCAGTGAAGCAGCACTTTGATTTGTTAGGCTCTCGGAACTTTGCTTAATGTGTTACTACTTCTTCGTATTAGGGCTGATCGAATCACATAAAACTGAATTCCAGGAGCTGAATAGCTACATGGCATTGTATTAGGAGACATACCCATCATTCTGGGATTGCTTTCCTGGTGTCAACAACACGTGGTGCATGCCAACAGCCACTCTGTATCAGGGATGCTCTTCTGTGTCTGGGAAACTGCAGAACAGTTTGTGCAAGATAAGCATGTCTTGAATATTGGGTAATTGAAAAGTTGTGTAACTTGACTGGTGTAATTTTCAATAATATTTACCAGTGGATTCCATATATTGACTTTTAGACCTACTGTCGTGTTGGATTGCCATTCTATCAGGTAATAATTGCAATTTTGTGTGTGTGTTTTCACAGGTAACACTTGTCTAGCGGAGGGGCATGCAGAAAACTCCTGCATGGCATTTTATCCAACCCCTCTCCTACCTTTCACCTCACCGGTCACGGTCATGTACAGACAAGCTGCAGCAGATGAATTGTGCAGAGAGATGGTGAGGATTTGCCCTGATGCATTGAAACACTCAGAGTATGTGAAGTCATCCCCAAGCTACCTGAGCCAGCACATGCCTTCTTTCTGACTTCAGTGGATTAGGATTTTTCTGCCATGTACGTTTGCTGACTGGACAGCAAGGAAATGTTTTGTTGCCTATCTGCTCACACACGTGAGGCTTCACAGAGCAGGTGTGTTCTGTGTGGCTGATAACTTGGGAATATGTGTTGTCTCCATCAGAAACATGTTTTTCCTGCTGTTAGGGCTATTCAGGTTATCTGTGTATAATACCATGAGCTGGAAGAGAAAGGGAATTTGTGCCCTTTGAAGAAACTCCTCCAGATTCTCTTCTGTCTCTCTTCAGTGTGATACACAAATATTTATGTTCTTTATTATCTCTTTTCCCCAGCCCTTGCTCCAATCTTTCAGGCAGTTAAGAGTCTGGCTTTGGGCTTGGTGAGGGATGCAGGTTTTCATTTCAACATGTTACTGGATTTTTTGGTTCTGGAGCAGAAACCAGCCTGTCTCCTTGCATTAGACCCTGTCAGGTCTCTCCTGCACTGATGCACTTATTAAAAGCTTAGTTATTTATTCATTTCCTCTTCACTATCTTTAGGTATACGCCTGGACTTAGGAATGATCAGTCATGTTTTTTTCATCTTGCCTTGCTCTTTTTGTTCTCCTATATCAGTATGGGAAACCATGGTGTTAGTACTGGACTCACCCCTGGAAACCAATGTTTCCAACTCATTTATCTGTACAAATTATCTTTCTGGATTATCTTTTCTGCTTTTCTGATTAAAACTGGCTAACACTGAAGACTCCATGGCCTTCCTTTTTACTTACTGACTCACAAAAATATGTCAGAACTTTTCCATTTGCAGGCCTGACAAGCAGCTACCTGACTGTGTGGAACACTTGCAGGCACAAGGTGAGAAGTGAAGGTTGGAGAAGAGAACTGGATGGAATAAAACTTTTGAGTCCAGATGTTCCAGTCACACAGGGAGATGTGTTTTGTTTCTGAGAAATGAGCATTTTCAGTTGCTGGGATAATCTGCTGGTAGCTATCTAGACAGGTGTTGCTAAACCTCCTAAATTCAAATAGTTCAATTTTGAAGGAAAACTTACTGGTACAAACCAGTCTGGAGACACTCTTCTGCATGCAAATGGGAAAGGGGGGGGCTTATTTAGGAGCACAAATGTGACAGTCAGAGCAAAATGGGGGAAAGTGAAGATATATTGGAAAGAAACACAGAGGGAAGAGCCAACTGTCAGGTAAAGAGCCTTTTTTGGAGAATTCACAGTGTTATGGCTGCATTGAGGACCACTAGCACTGCCCTCTAAAAGCTACTTGGTTATTGGAAATGAAGGGGAAATTCCCTGTCAGATCAATTACTGCTTTAGATGGCACTTTCCATGTTGTAAATTTAATTTGCTTTCTTTTTTTTTTTAGCATAAAATTTGATTAAACTCCAGGTAATTCCTTAGAATTTGAAGAGAACAACGCAACACAGCGCTGGGGCATGGCAAAGGTATGTTTTTACAGGTGTGATCATTAATGAGGGGCTGTTCATGATGCAGGTTATCACCTGGTGATATAAATATGATCTGAATCAAGACGCACGGCGCAATCACACTTCTGTCAAATTAGCCAGACGAATGATGCAAAGTTGATGCAGCTTTATGTTTTCAGATTAGCTTTATGCCTGCTGTGGGAGGACAGCTGACAGTGAGCCAGGCAAGGTTAGCAGCTGATCTGGTGTAAAGTCTTCCAGTGCAGAGTCACCTCATAAAAAATGTTAAAAGAAGTTTGCAAAGTGAGTTTGATTGACTGAATGCTTTCTAGTCCAGTGGTCACAACATTGTGTAATGCCATAAAAGCAGATTTAGCTTCTCTTTAGGTCACCAGCACAGCTCCCTGAGGTTCAGTTTTCCTAGACCTAATCAGCGGCCATGGGCAACCCCAGTCTGAGCTCAGCATGTCGAGGGGCAGCCTGGCAGGTGCTGTGTGGGATGAGGACTGGTTGTGGCTGTGTGTGGAGAGTCCCAGACTGCACTTGTACCTGAATTGTGGAGAAGCAATTCGTTTGGGGTTGATGTTTTTTCTAGGTAAGAGTATGCAAGTCATAATTCTGAAAAGATACCTGTTTCCAGTACAAGCTAGAGAAGAATGAGCTCCCCTGAAATGGCAGGTTAATATCTCTATTTTTGTTAAAGATAGTTGTATTCCTTGGAGCCAGCTGTTAAAATCTCTGCTGATTTCCTAATGGGCATTAAAGGCTTCCTCCACCCAGCTCTGTCTCCCCTCCGGGCCTCCTTCCTGAATCCTCTGGCTCCAAAAGAAGCCCGGAGCTGAGGGAATGGATATCCCATGTGTGATCACTGAGCCCAGCATGTTACTCTTCATTCTCTCAAAAATGAAAAGTCATTAAAAGTAAAGATGATGGATGAGTGGTGTTTAATCAAGAACTGTCTTTAAGTGGGTTCAATTGTGAAGTAGCAAAGGGTTAGAGAGGCTAATTTCCTTATAATAAATGGGCCCACTTAAATTTGGTCATCAGAAAAGGGTAATCCATGTTTTGTGGAATAAGGAAACATCACTGCTAAAGAACCAGAGCACTGATTTCCAGTTGTTTTCCCCAATTTTAATATTTATATCAGGAGGGGTAGGTCTCCTTTCTGCATGAAAGACAATTTGGATAAAATAGAGAAGTTAGAAATTGTGGTGCAGTATTGTAACCCCCCTGAGTGTGGCCCTGATGCCACACTCTGTGGTTTCTCTGTGGTTACTCCCCTCAGTGCTCTGTCAGTCAGGATCTGTGATCACCCACTCCTTCACAACGGGCTGGTGGAGCCCATGGGGAAAGGGGCTGCTCTGGAATTGCACCTGAGGTACTTTCTGTGTTGTTCATGCTTATTACTGATAGGAGTAACTGAAGAGGCTTCACAATCTTCTGTTGCTGCAGTTTTGGTCAAATGGTTCCATAACGCGATTGTTTTAAAAGATATTTAACCCAAGGTTTGGGGCATTCCCCCCAAAACAAACAAACAAACAAACAAAAAGGCAGTGGCTGCAAGAGAAATTTCTCCTTACAGTTTCTCCTAGAAAGGCTCAGCCAGATGTATGTTTGTCACATGGCTGATCTTGTTCAAATCTATAGAGAAAAGGGAAATTGTGGCCAAAGAGGCTTCTGCTTGGAGGTATCAGTCTTTTGGTTAGCTGAGGGCTGGGGAGAACTCCTGGTGACTGCCCTTTCTTTCATCTTCTCCCTGCCACAAAAAACAACTGCAGGGCAAGGCATTGGTAGAGGAGATCTCAGTCATGTGTTTTCTCAGTACAGGATGGTATTGAGTTCCAAATTGTCTTTTTCACCCAGAACAATATAGTGACCACTGGTGACAATAACTGAGCTGTATAGAAGCCAGCTTCTTCCACCTGTCTGCTGAGGAATATCTTGCTCCAGTGGAGCTGTTTTGCCTGTCCTGGGAGCCTACATGACATCAGTGAAGTTTTCAGCCATACTGGATGAAAATAATTCTGTAAGAACAAGTTAGGCTCATCTATTAATCTAGAGATGAGCTTTTGAACTGATGTTTAAACTTCATTTTCTGCCCTCTTTGAAGTGGACGGAAGTCACCCAAGTAAGAGATTGGAATTGATTCAGTTGTGTTTTCATTTTCTTTCTGATAAATGTAACTTTCCCTTTCCCTGTCTGGAGAATGCATGCCCCTCCTCCCACTGGAGTGGATCAGCACTGGCATCTGTGCAAACTTTCTTTCTCGGGTTTCCCTACTGGGAGTTTTCCACCCTTGCTGCCCACACTGGCTCTCTAGAAAGCACCTTTCCTTCAAAATCCCTCAATTAACTGTGAATGGTGCCAGGAAAGAGCCTGACCCCATTATACTTTTTCTGTGCCAAACCTGGTTGCTGGCAGAGGAACTCTCCAGATGGTTCAGCTTTTGCCATTTTTCCTGTTCTTCCCAGATAAGCTGACTGACCCGGGAGTCCACTTGGCCGTGGAACAATTTAAGCTGTACGTAGTCACATGAGAAAAATAAAAGTGGAAAGCCAGTAAAAGTGTGGTTTCTGGGCCAGGCATTAACTGGGCTGTGGCAGAGCTGCTTTCTGGTCCCAGATCTGCTACAACCATCATCTGTAATTTTAGTAAGGTCCCTTAAAGCCTCTGTGTCTGCCTTTCTGGTTTGGTCAAATGGAGGGAGCAGTGCTCCTTCCCGGGTCTGATGGCTGTGCTTTCTGCCATCCATCCTTTGGGGCAGGGCTTCTCTTTGTTTAGGGGTTACCCAGCATGACAGTGAGCTGGTCTTGCTTGAGGTCTGTGCAATCTCCAGTAATAGTAACACAGACAATCAGTTAACTGACTCAGAAACAAGTATTCAAACAATATGCCTGTGAGCTTTCTCTCTTCACTGGATTTTATTATGATGTGTTCTTTGTTTGATTTACTTTATACCTCTAGGAATATTTATTTAGCTTATTTATGATGTTATGGTTTTCTTAGAAAACCAGGACATGGTTCTGAGTGGTCAGATGGATAATTCCTTTCTCCTTGTTGCTTCTCATGTAATAATCATATCCTTTACAAATACCTACTTCAGGCACTGAATGTATTAAAATTCTTGCATAGTTTTTCCTCTCTCAGATATGATGAAATACCTACCCCTGGCTGGCTGGATTTGGACCCTCTGCTCGGGCTGTGACAGCCACATTACTCTACACTCAATGCCACTGTGACTGCCAGACTTCCAGCATGAGTAAGAGAACCTGGTTAACAGCAATAGTATGCGCTTTATTTTTCCTTTTCAGAGGTTATATCTGGTGACTGTGTGACTGGAACAGTGAGACTAACCTCAGCTTTGCAGTAACAAAGCAGCTATGAGCTTTCTGGGTAAAGTATATTTTGACTGACATACAAGTAGCTGTAGCTTTGCTGCACAATGGAGAAAATGACTTCATTTAACAGCTTTCTGTGCCAAGAAAGAAATAAAACAGTTCTGAGAATGTTGAAGATTTTTTTCCTGTTTTAATTTTAAACCTAAAAGAAAAAGCTGTTGCCATATAAGTCCAAGTCAATGGAATATATAAATCTTTAAAAAGGTTTCATAAAGTAATAATGACTTTAGTATATGTACCAAATGAGATTAAAGAGCTACATTTGGTTCTAATACAGAGTTTCACATTCAAAAGGACCATCAGTTTCCTGTTTAAAATCTACTTATATTGAACCGAATGGAGTTCAAACATAATGCCATTGTATTTCAGACATTTATCTTAATTTAAAACAGCTGAAAAACATTAATAACAGGGCAAGGAGATGTGGAGGTATAGGCATTTCTCCCTTCCTCCTCTGCTTTTTAAAATCATGAACTCAGATTCATGCCCCTCTCCTTGCACGGTTCTGCCAGACTGCAAAGGACAAGGAGCACAGTGGAACTGTAGCACTAACAGTCCTTTGGGAGGGGCGAAGAACTTGACTGAAACTTGTTTCACCAAGTGTCCATTTCTGAACAGGGGGGTTAAACAACGATTTATTGAGGCAGTTCTTACCTCGAGCATCTTCAGGAAGCATTTGCAGTACAAGCACGCCAAGCTGAAACTCGCCAGCCTGAAATGTCCCACCTTAGGGCTTTGATCCCAGTTTCCTCCTTTTCATTGAAAATTCTCCCTCTGCCGTCACTGTCTTTAAGCACCTAGCATCACAAATCATACCACAGTGCATTTTACATGTCCTTTGTGTGAATTTCACCTTCTCAGTTCTAGTTCCACAGAGGATTGCTAATTCTGCGCCAGTCGAGCTGTTCAGAATTGTTCCAACTTCTTGAAGGTCTGAATTATTGTCAATAAAAATCAAAGCTGATTTCTGTTTTCCTATTTAGAGTGTTGTCTCCCAGGAGGAGACAGTGAGTGAATAA